ATTTGGAACTAACTAGATAGGAGGTGGGGGACCCCAATGGAAGAAGTAGGACTCTTAGAACAAAATGCATTATTATTTTTAGCTTGACTTTCATTGAACCTATTTTAGATCATGTTCAGCATTTGAACTAGTAAATACAAATATGTCCAAATAGATTAAATTAAAAGAAAAAAATGTATTTCTTAGTTAAAACCAATCCCAGGTTTAGATGAGGCCTCATATTATCAATCAATGCAAAAATCATTTTGGGACTAGGGGGTATCAGTTGTGTTGTCTGAACTTGACGGACTTCAGGAAGGATCATTGGAATCAAGATCAGCCCAAGGCTGATTCCCATGGGGTGGAGGTCAGACATACCTCCCCTTGCCAACTTTTTTTTTTACCAATGCTAGCACCAGCACTTCCGCCCATGGCATATTCTACTACTCGGCTGGGTTTGATCATTTGTTTACAATGATCATGCAGCCCACCTCTCAGACCCCCAATGACAGGCTCCTCTCGGCCCCCTGAGGACAGCCTTCCTTCAGCTCCCTGAGGACAGACTTTGACTCTGCCACCTGTTGCTGCTGGCTCTGCTGCTGGGCCCCTTCCAGGCCTGTCACTGCCAGCGCTGCCACTGGGCCCCTCCTGGGCTTCTCACAATCTTCAGTGTTATAGGCCTTGGCCAGTGTTATAGCCCTTTTAGAAGGTTCCTTGGGTTCTCTCGCTTCCTGCTGCCACTTTCTTCCTTCTACTCCTCTTGCTGGCTGGACATACAGTATATGTATATATAACGCTTTGTAACTTTGAGGGCCTGGCCCCTCCAAGTGGGGGACCCCAAACTGACCAATCAGTCCCTTCTTGGTAAGCTATGATATGTCATTTGCATGGTATGGTATAGTAACTCCACGTGCATAGGAAGCTATAGTCACCTCATTTGCATAGTCAACTGACCAATCCCTGCCCTTCATAGAAACTCAAACCCACTGCCATCGAGTCGATTGCAACTCAAGGCAACCCATGAACTGCCAGAGTAGAATTGCCCCTGTAAGTTTCTGAGATGACTCTTTTCAGGAGTAGAAAGCCTCATCTTTCTCCCATAGAGTGGGGGTTGAACTGCTGACCTTGTGGTTAGCAGCCCAATGCATAACCTACTATGTCATCAAGGCTCTGTAGCTGTAGCCTAGGACTAGGCGAAAAGTATTGAAAAACAAAAAACCAAGTTGCTTACTGCATACCCAGTCTCAATCTAGACCAGTGGTTCTCAATGCCACGGCCCTTTAATAAAGTTCCTCATGTTGTGGTGATCCCCCCAACCATCAAATTATTTTCATTGCTACTTCGTAACTGTCATTTTGCTACTTTTATGAATTGGGCGACCCCTGTGAAAGGGTTGTTTGAACCCCCAAAGGGGTGGCAACCCACAGGTTGAGGACCACTGATCTAGACAAAGGTAACAAACCCTCTGGGCTTAGGGGGAAATAAAACCTCTCAAACCATTTCCCCCAAAGAACCAAGGCCAAAGGCTACACAAAGGACCTCATTTTGACCTCAGGCATCCATGAATTCATAGTGTTCCATTTTTCATCCACAAAGAAAAATTCCCTGAAGCAGCATTCATTGCTGTTAAGTCAATCCTCACTCATTGCGAACCGAGAACGGAGTCGACTTGCTGAGTGTTCCCAAGGCCGTAATTGTATTGGAAGCACTGTCACATCTTTCTCCTGCAGAGCCGCAGCTGGTCAATTTGAACTAGCGGTCATTTGGTTACCGGCTGAATCCTTCACCACAGCACCACCTGCACTTAAACTGTATACCACTACTTAAAAAGGAAGTCCCTGGGTGACTACTTACTTGTATTAGACTACCTATCTACTGGTTAAGGCACTTGACTGTTATCTAAAACGTTGGCGAATCTACCCTACCCAGAGGTGCCTTGGCAAACAAGTGTGGTGGTCTCCTTCCAAAAGGCCAGTCTTGAGAACCCATGGAGCAATTCTCCTCTGAACTTACTTATAGGGTTACTTATAGCAACTTCAAAGAAACACTCACCCTTATGAATTGACCAGCTAAAAGGGAAGTCGAAGTGAGGGTAAACTCCCTAAGGGCATTGAGTTGATTCCTCTTCATAGCTACCATATTGAATTGCTGAGATTGTCTGCCTTTATGGGAGCAGATTGCCTCATCGTTCTCCTGAAGGAACACCTGGTGGGTTTGAGCTGCTAACCTTACTGTTACCGGCCCAATGCATAAGCCACTATGCCACCAGCGTTCCTTAGAAGCGAGGGCAGGGCGTAATAATTACAAAACAAACACATCACAAGGAGATCGTTGATTATAAAAGCCTGGTAGAAATCTGCAGGAGGCGTTAAGGTGTTTTTTTTAAGTGGTCGCTGTGCCAATTCACTATCTCACATTTCATGTGAGAGAATTGGGCTTTGCTTTAATGGACAATTTTGGAAAAAGAGTAGCTATCCAGAGGTGTCCCTATAAATTTGAGAAATTACAAAATAAGACAGTGACCCTGCAATTGCTTTCATTTCTGATGGCGCCTTCTGTGCCTGCTTCTCGAGTGCTGGGACTTTTCCGCCTTTTTTTTTTTCACCAAATGGACAAGCACCTGCAAGGGGCTTTGTGAATGATCTTCTCTACCTCTCAGAGTTGAATGTGGAGATATCAATGGACTCTCTACTTGACGATGGACTTGACTGATTGGGTCCAAAGATGCTCATGGGATCTTCTTGGATTGTACTCCAAGTCCTTTATTTTGTCTTCAGTGTCCCTGAGGGATGCAAACGGTCATCCTCACTCAGCCACGTTTTTCTCTAGGCCAGGCGTCCTCCAACTATGGCCCAGGGGCCACATGCGGCCCCCCCCGAGAACATTTATCAGGCCCACCAGGTGTTTTTGCCCCATTTGTTTTTTAACTTCAAAATAAGATATGTGCATTGTGCATAGGAATTTGTCCATAGTTTTTTTTTTTATTATAGTCTGGCCCTCCAATGGCTCTGAGGGACAGTGAACTGGCCCTCTGTTTCAAAAGTTTGAGGACCCCTGCTCTAGGCTTATATACGGGAATCTAGAAAGCAGAAACTTAGTCAAGACTCAATTTGGATTACAATAGGATTGCTCTTACCATGGCTTGGTGCTCATTTAGGACCCAATTCACACATACACCCTGTCATGATTTTGCTTGACTTGGAAACACATCACTGTCATATCATTCCTCTCATGTGGATTGGGACAGGCTGCATGTGTGGTGTAGGTTAATCTTGTGATACTGTGATTTTTTTTGAGTGCTGGTATTTAGAATGCCCACAGCATGTTTGAATTCATCTTCCCTATCTTTGTTTTTAAGGAGTTTTGGTGCTACAGTGGTTATGTGTTGGGCTGCTAACTGAAAGGTGAGCAGTTCGAAACTACCAGCTGCTCTTTGAGGCTTTCTACTCCCATAAAAAGTTACAGCCTCAGAAACCCTTAAAGGGAAGTTCTACCCTGACTTATGGAATCGCTATGAGTCAGAAACAATTCAATGTCAGTGAGTTTGGTTTTGGGTTTGGTAGTGCAGTGGGTTAATTGTTGGATGGATAACCGAAAAATCACTGGTTCAAACCCACCAGCTGCTTCATGGGAGAAGGATGTGGCAGCCTGTTTCCATAAAGATTTACAACCGTAGAAACACTAGGTAGCAATTCTTTTCTGTCCTAGAGGGTCACAGTGAGTAGAATCAACTAGATGATAGGGTGGGGGCGGGGTGGGGTTTTTTGCTATTATCATCTTTGTTTTTATATTGATTCTTAACTTTGGAAAAATGTTAGCATGTGTTTAAATAAAGGCACATTAACATCAAGGGCTTTCTGATGGTGCTTTATCAACTTCTAAAATGCTCCTTGGAGAGAGTTCTGTTACAGAAGCTGTTTGGGGAATTCACACATTCAAAATTCACACCGGTCTCATGAGTTTTGGCTTCATGCCTGGTGCCTCACTTTCTTGGGGAAGGGAACTTGAACAGAACAGGAGTCTAATTGGATGTGGGAGGGTTGGGTTAGTGAAATTTAGGTTATAAGATTCCCATGCATACCAGTCAGTGTGTTATTATAGAGACAGGCGAATAGATAGCTGCCTACACGCAGACAATTCTAGGTGTGTCCAGCTTTCTACAACAGCTGCAGGCCTAAATCTGTCTTGTCAATCATCGTGATCCCTGGGAAGGGGGCGGAGCGGGAAGCTCTGTTTAAAAAAAAATCCATTTGAAAATCTCTGACTTTATCTTTTGCCTCAGTCTAAGACTTCCTGAGTCAGATTTCAGAGCGGTTCTGGAGACAACATTGCTTTTGTTGTTTTGTCCCCTCCCTCCCCCAGAATACTCAAAGAAAGGACCAATTGATAATTCCTATCTGGACCATAGGAAAATATAGAAAATACTTAATGGGCATCCTATTGTGCTATTTCCTTGCTGTGCTTTTGCATTTGGCCAGTGGCTACAGTGTAATTCATGAAATTTGGGGCACGGGGAAAGGGAAATCTTTCAGATGCCATTTGTAGAGACCCAAGCTAGCATTCATGTGTAATGTATGGAGATGGAGTGTTGGGAGGGGGTATGTCTCAGGTAATGAGAACAAAGCATAGCTACTCTCCCATTGTTCTGGAAGAGCTACATTCCATTGCCCCACGTCACTAAACATACTCTTTGGAGGAAGATGCTTGTTTTACCTGTTTTGTTAGTACATAACTGTCAATAGCCATTTTCACTGGTATTTAAAGTTGCACTTTGAGATGAATGCTTTTATGTATGAAGATACTGGTACAGTTACCAATTATTATTTGGGCAAAGCCTGTGAATTAATTTTCCAACTGAACAGAGCAAAATCAGTCAATTGAAGAAGAGATTACATAGTTTTGTATTAAAACCCACTTGTCAAAATAATAGTAAATTTTAAAAAACCCATGGGTCGAGCCCATGGAAAACTTTATGACATTGACCTAATTTTCAAATATGTTTTTATGGTTTTCTTTTGCAGGATAACAAAGCCATTGACCTTTGCCGATTGTGTTGGGGATGAACTTCCTTTAGGATGGGAAACTGTATATGATAAACAAATTGGAATTTATTACATGGACCACATAAATAGTGAGTAGAGTGCCACATTGTGATAATTATTTGTGAATGGCTTTTCATGTTGGATCTCAAAGACATGATGAATTTTTGCAGAGCTCAAAAATTGCCACTGCCTGAAGCAGCATGAAACGGGGCTTTATGAATGTAATCTGAAGTTATGAGCTGAGCTCTTCAGAACACGAAGCAGCTATGTAGCTATGCCTTGCTTGTGTTTTGTAGAGGTATGCATATAATATGTTTTATAGAGGTTTTTAATATCTCATATAAGGAATAGATTTCTCAGGCAGCCTGGGAACCGAACTGCATGTTTTCATGAGAAGATCGTTTATTACAAAATAGAACTTAAGAGCTCTTGAAGCAATCAGTGCGCAAGGGGTTACTTTATCACATACATTTAATTTTAACTTTGATGTCTGATACCTTTATGATCTTGGCGAAAGAGATCCGTGCAGAACTACCTAGAACAGTGATTCTCAACTGGGGGCAATTCTTCAAGGGGACACTTGGCCATGTGTGGAGCCTTTTTTTGGTCGTCACAAGGTGTATACTGGGGGTGCTGCGGGCATCTAGTGGGGAGGGGCAGACCATGCTGCTAAACACACTGTAATGCCAAGGACACCAAAGAGTGTCCTGCTTCCAGATGCCCATAGTGCCAAGGGTGAGACTTTGCACCTAGAGCCCCAATAAATCCGAGGTTAGTCCTCCACTCCTCATATGGGGCTTTCTGGCTCTTCTTCAGCCTTCCTTGGACATGGGTACAAACTGGGGATCCATTTCTCTCTCGGATTTATACTTTGTCACAATCTCCCCTTCATAGTCTAGCCCCCTCAGTGTTTCTGTCATTGTCATTTTTATTGCCAGGCAACTCTTTATTAGATAAAGATAGGAACTCTGGCTCCCCCTTGGTGTATGTTCCCTGTCTCTGTTTATTGAACATGGGGAGGCAGGGCAGGGTGAGGGTGTCCTGAAAATAGCCGGTGCCCTCCTCCTGAGTAATTTAGGAAGAGCTTTCCTTAGTCCGGGCTCACGGCCTCTCATTTCCCCTTAGTGTGATCTCCTCCAGGTTGGTGTCTTCAGGACTCATTCCTGCGTGCCTGCCAACCCTCCGAGTTTAGTACTCAGAAACCTAATTTGGGAGTCCTTCCTGTCGCTGTCCTGTGATACATTGCCTTCAGCTGGCACTCAGTCAGAACTGCCATCCAAAGACTGTGCAGTGTCCCTTGGAGATGAGAATAAGTGGTGTCCCTGCCTGCAGCTCTCTTGAATGGCAAGAGAGGGCTTCTAGATAGGGATAGGGATATCGGTGAAGACAGAAATCAAGAGCGAGGTAATGATAGACCTAGAGATATCGATAGAGATAGGGAGAAAGATAGAGAGGCGGAGACAGAGCCTGTGTGTGTGAGAGAGAGACACCATCAGAGAGAGATCATCTGGGCTTAGAATCCCTGCTAGTCACTCAGCCAGTGGGACTGCTACATGGCTTTATCAGCAGGCTCTCTCCTTCCCCACCTGGTTTCCCAGTGGCATCGGCCTTTAAGCAGTCCTTCTAGACAACTTGCTTGCCACTCTTGAGACCCAAGCGCCTGCAGATTCGCCTGACCCATAAGCCCCACGTGGTCATCCTTCAATGCCCCTCTTCCTCCCGCCTCTTGCTAATTCCTTCAGTCACAGCAGGCATTGGCAGAGTGCCTCTCATTGCAGCCACCGAGGTGAGGCCCCGAGGACATGGGAAAGTGAGACCCGGCCTCGCCCTCATGGAGCTCCTCTTCTAGGCCAGGGACACCGAGGTTGAGTCATTAACTCCTCCTCCCAGACAGTGGGAATGGTCACCAGGGAGCAAGGGAAGGAGAACAGGGGACTTCTGCTTAAGGGGTAAGAATTTCTGGATGTTTGGCAGCCTGAAGATGTTTTGGAACTAAGTAGTGGTGATGGTTGCCCAATATGAGGGCTGTATTTCATGTCACTGAATTGTACAGTTAACAATGGGCACCAGAGCAAATTTGACACGATCCAGTAAGACCTGTGAAAGCCAGACCTGCAGAAAGCAGAAACGTGTCAGAAAAGAAAAGCGACATTTCCCCCCTCTAATGGAGAGCGATAAGAAAGTGGTGAGGCTGCACCCTGTCAGAGGCGGGGAACGTGTGAGACCCAGAAAAACAAGCCTGTCCAGTCGAGTTCCTGCTCGCGTGGCTTTCACTGCATCCCTTGTCGCACAATACAGTTTTTGATGAATTTGGAGAGATGCTAAGATTCCCCGCTGGGCAGAAGGGAGCAGAGCAGAGTAGATGAGTCAACCTGGCCTGTTCAGGGACTTTGGAAAAGTTCAGTCTGTTTGTGGGGAAAAGGACAGAAAATCAAGATGAAGCTGGCAAGTCCATTTGGGGGATCCTTAAGCAAAGCTGTTTCTATGGCCAATAACACCTATGGCGATTAGTTTGAAATTGCTGAATAATCTCTCACAGCTGGTGAGGGAAACCGAGCTAGCCAATCGAAATCACTCACTGGCACCCCCCCCCCCGCCCCTAGTGGTATCATAACCCCCATAACTTACACATGTTCCACTCTTATGGCGTTTGGACTTGGTACTTTTAAGAATTTCCAGCTGAGTTGTTAGGAAGGGATGTTGGGTTGTGGCGGAAAGAGGCAGGAAGCCTGGACATTCCTGGAGGGAAATCATGAGGTCCTGATTAACCCAAAAGGGACCGGAAAGAAAGGTGTGCTGCTCACTGAGAGGCAATCAAGGGTCAGCAACCACTGACTCTTGGGGACACATTGAATACTCTAGGTGAGGGAGAGGAACAGGCGTTCTTAGAAGAAGCGTCCAGTCGGTTCCCAGGTGATGGCGATCCTGAGAGCGGGAAGGCCTGCGGAGAAGCAGGTGTTTGTTATCTTTGTGGTCGGTTGGCTTTGTTTTGTTTTCGGCAGTGAAAGGGCAGAGGGTAAGAATGGGCTCTGCTTTGCATGAGTGACTCAGAATGACTTTGGGTCTGTCCAGATGGAGCTGTGTCTAGGAGGCAGTTGGAAATAAAAGACAGGAACTCAGGAGAGAGCTTGGAGCTCGAGATAGGCTTAGGAGAACCATGGGAGTGAGAAAGCGGAGCGGAAGACAGGGATTTATGAGTAGGAGGAGACAAGGAAGTCAGCAAAGAGTGAGAAAATGCTGCTCGGCCTTTCACGGAGATGAAAGACCAGGAGAGCAAGCCAAGTCAAGTGGCAGTAGGGTTTATAGCTTCCTGCATGAAGGAAGTCCACAAGAAGAAGGTTGTAAATATTTCTTACTTTGACAGTTACGAGCTCATTTGGGCTCATCTACTCCCGAGTTTATTTACAGTGTGGTCATTATCTGTGGGCAATTGTATTGTCTTCCCCACTCCAGTGGACTATTTTGTATCTGCCTTGTGGGGTTTTCTTCTCGTCTCAACCATGGCTATAGAGAAATAATAGGTGTTCTGCATTCTAGATGGGTTTGATACACGGAATCTGCCAGAATGTGCATCCTGGTTGACTAGCAGCATGACTGCGTGGCTGTTGGCCAGCCTACAGCTTGTCCTTGTAAGCCACATGTGCTCTTACTCTTTGATTCCAGAGCTCACCCAGATTGAGGATCCCCGAGAGCAGTGGAGGCGGGAGCAGGAACGGATGTTGAAGGAATATTTAATTGTAGCCCAGGAGGCTCTCAATGCCAAGAAAGAAATATACCAGATTAAGCAGCAGCGGTTCGAGCTGGCCCAGGAGGAGTTCCAGCAGCTGCACAAGATGTGTGAGGATGACTGCCGCTCATATGCCAGCTGTGAGTTGACCCTACCCCCTGCGGTTAACACTCATGATGTTATGAGCTATCTCTCTGCTGGGTCACTTGGGCAAGCCAGTTTCATATTGGGTTTAGTCGCATGCTGTAGGAAATCACTACCCTGCACTGGAATCAGCTGGTCATCTGGCAGTCACTCAACAAATATTTGGCAAGCACTCGGCTGGTAACCAAAAGGTCAGCAGCTCGAACCCACCATGGGAGAAAGAGGTAGAAGACTGTTTCCATAAGCATGACAGCACATAGGTGCCAGGCCCTTAAAGGAGCGGTAGTGGCAGGAGCCCATAGCATACTTGTCAGCTGGCCAGTGACATGGGTCTCTCACCGCCCAGAGCTCTCACGCTGTTAGTCATCTCAAGCAGGGAGGTGTCATCTGGTGTCCCAGATGCTGGGAACAGAATACAATTTGGACTTGTTTCCTACTCCTCTCTTCTTCCTTAGTCAGGAGTCCAAGTGAAAGGAACCCATAGTCAATGAGCTCGATATAGGCACTCACAAGATTGCAACACGATGAAGTCCTCGTTGTTGTTATCTTCGTGGTACACCTGAGAAACTGAATATTGGGGAGGCCAAATCACTTCAAGGTTAAAAAACACCACCAAAAGATTGTCATCGAGTTGCTTCTGACCCATATATTTCAGGGTAGAACTGGGTCTCCTAGGGTTTTCAATGACTGGATTTTCAGGAGTAAGATGGTCCAACCTTTCTTCTGGGGTGCCTCTGGATGGATTTGACTAGCTAGCTTTTTGGTAATAGCCAAGCGCTGAGTGGTTTGCACCACTCAGAGACTCTTCAAGGCCACACATCCAGTGGCAGAACTTGTGTTTTTAGCCTTCAGTGGAAGAGCTGATGGTGGCTTTGGAACACATCATCTGCCCCCTGGTTTTCAAATTACCTGAAGATAAAAATTGGCAAGCCCTCTGCCGAATTTGGTAACGGGGCCAAGTTAAGGGCAGAACAATTTCTACTACTTGAAGTTTCTCATGGCCCAGGGTAGAATTGCTAAATGACTTGTTAGTTTTCTGGCAAAATGTTTACACCTGGCATTGGTATGTGGCTCAGTAGTTAAAATACTAGACTACTAACCGAAAGGTCAGTGGTTGAAACCCATCAGCCATTCCATGGGAGAAAGACGTGGCCATTTACTTCTGTAAATATTCAGAGCCTTGAAAATCCTATGGGGCAGTTCTAGTTTGCCCTTATGAAGTTGGCATGTACTCCAAGGCAATGGCTTGGGTATTGGTGTACATGGAGTGTGGGAGCAGAGCACAGACAGGACGGATGAAGGGCAATTGGATTTCACCAACACCTTTCACAGATTTCCCACGGAGCTTTGTAAATCACCAGGCGAGTACCTTATTCATTGGAGAGGAAAGATGGTGTGTCAATAATGGGCTTTTGGATATCTAAGAATACCCAAGCTTTGACGGTTTTTTGTCCCCCACCCCACCCCCGTCAAAAACAAATGTTTTTGAGACTTAAGACTAAGCCTGCAGCTCTCTTCTCTATGCATTTATGAACTAGGGCCCCAATACTCAGCCCGAAGCGATGCTTTCTAGAGTATTGGGATGGCCCTGTTCTGCAAGATTGGGACAAATTCTCTCTGAACTACACCCAGTACCTTTTCTCCACCTCCATGTTGTAGCATTTTCTCCTGGTTTCCATCACAACGTTTGGCCTCCTTTTGAACCCTAAATTAACTTGGCCCCCCTTCTCCCCTTTCAGGAGCTGCCCTTTCATTCTTCCCCGGTGTGTTCAGATGAGGTAGATGATCATTTCTAGGAGCTTCTGGGAGGAATTCTTGCACCAGATAAAAATTGTACCCTGAACTACAGGTCAACAAACGATGAGCCAAATCCGGCACCCTACTGTGTTTTATAACAAAGCTTTATTGGAACACGTACTCCTTCTTTTCATTGTTGTCCATGGCAGCTAGAGGGGCAGAATTGAGGCGTTCATACAGAGACCTTATGGCATGCCAAACCTAAACTATTGAAGGAGCACTAGTGACATAGTGGTGACAGTTTCAGAAAATCCATAGGGGCGGTTCTACCCTATCCTGTAGGTTACTATGAGTCAGAATTGACTCAATGACAGTGAGTTTTTGAGACCCGATATTATGAGTCCTGGTGGTGTAATGGGTTATGGGTTGGTCAGCAGTTTGAAACTACCAGCCACTCTAAAAGAGAAAGATGGCACTTTCTACTCTGAAAGAGTTACCGGTCTCGGAAACCCACAGGGGCAGTTCTGCCTTATCCTCTAAGGTTGCTGTAAGTTGGAATTGACATGATGGAGGTGTGTGTGTGTGTGTGTGTGTGCGTGTATAAGAGAGAGAGATTGAGACAGAGATTGCCACTCCCTCATCTCTACGACTTGTCCCACAATCCCCCTAGAGGTTTTTAACAAAATAACTGCTGCCTGGGCCCCACCCCGGAGATTTTAATTTAATTGGTCTTGGGTGGGTTCAATCTTGTTTTTTGGGGTGTTTTTCTTTTTCTTTTTTTAAGATTCCCCAAGTACTTAGGCCTACGTAGTTAATGCCCCTTCTAGCAACAACAGCAGTATGATTTTGTTACCTGGTTCCTGGGATCTACTAAGAGTCTAATGCCACAGATCTCCACCAAAAGTCTCCTTGGGTGGCTGGGAAAGAGCCTACCTTATCTTTGGTGAGAAAGTGCTGACCCGCCCTAAATTCTTGTCTTAGGTGGTGGAGAAGTTAGGTCTGCCTTATCAGTCATCAGACTTGCCAATGTTCTCTCTGAGGCTATAAGCCCATCCCACCAAGACTGTCTTCTACTGGTTCCTTGTTAAAGGGTTTCTCATCTGCTATCTGGATTAGGATAAGGGCCACAGCTTGGATATTCGCTTTTGTTTTCCTTGACTTAGCATGTTGGAGCAGGCAGGAGAAAAAGAGATCATGCTGGATTTTTCATGTGTAATACCTGGCAATCCTCACCCTTACACATGTGTTTACCAAGAGATAATCCCCAACTATGTTCTGGAGAGAGAGTTCTTAGTTGGGGTTTGATGGCATCTTGCATTACTTCTGAATGGACTTATTTGAGCCTTTGCTTGTAGTGCCTTTAAAAAAGTGTCATCCCCTCCTTAGTTGGCTTCACTTCTTTACATGTGTACCTTTGTCCCTACTTTGATAATTAGTGCCTGTTAGGGTGGAACCTGTCCCGGCTTGCTGTATTTTTTCCCCCAGAGCCCTCTCTGCTCTCTGGAGCAGCCCCCGTAAGCACTGGTCCCTGGGGCACACACCTGGTCCTGCAGGGCCAGCTGCCAGACAGACCATTTTGGAGGATGGTCTTGTTAAAGCAGCTCCTCCCCTTGGGTGCCCCTCGGGTATGGCACAGAGGAGAGATGTGTGTCAGAGAGAGAGGCCTGAGCTTCCTCCTTTGAGTATCTGGTAAAATAGAAACCCAAGATAAGTGCTGGGGCATGCAGTGTTTTGAGTGCTAAATAAATAGGCCAAGTCCACTTACTTGGTGATGGGCATTGGGGAGCTGGAAGGGTATTCTTCCTCCTGTTGGAAAGTCCGTGCAACGAAAGGTTTTGGGGGTCACGGGGGTATGTGTGTTAAGCCCCAGGAACCCAAGTTCTGGACACGAAGCCCTCTCTGACCGACAGTGTAGTGATTTCAAGTCACTACAGAACTCGGTCTTTTAATTCACAAAGTGTTTTTCTGTATTTTATGAGAATAGATGACGTAAGTGTGAGAGACACCCATCATAGCACATTATAATATTTTACATTGTTGTGGTCCAGTGAGGCTATACCTTTTGTTATTATATCATCCAAAATGATATTACATGTCTGAGCAGATTCCTTAGGCTATTTGATAGCTCTGCTCACTGAACTCTTAAAGAGAAGAAAGCTTCGGAGGCAAAAGTCTGGTCTCCATCATAAACTTAGAGATTGGAGACATGTGTTAGCAGAGGAAGTGATTTCTTTTTATATATGTTGTGGAGGGCATGCTGTTAAAAATGGGATCCAGAGTCCTGGGCTATACCTTCAGCTCTATAAAAAGTTCTATCAGAATGCACATGGAAAGAGTTGAGAATTTGTGTTTAGAAATGGAATTATAATATTAAAAGTTATACTACTCTTCACAAATATCCTTAGCAATTGAAGATCAAATGTATTCACTGTCAAGATCAAATGAATTCCCACCCCCTCCAAGTCCTGAAATTTTATCGTTTGGGGGACTGTAACAAAGGTATCACGATTAGTATCAATGTAAATGAAATATCTTCAATCATTTTGGATGGCTTCAGCTGTGAGTAACAGAAGAGGCTATGTCTTATTGGACAATAAGGAATTCATTATCACATAGAGAAGGCCTCTGGAGCTACCATGAGTTTCCTCAGTAGTGGATTCCGTGGTTCACTGATATCATTGGCTTATCAAGCTCCTCTGCTAGAACTGCGGTACTCTCTGGGTCTCCTGGGGGAGAGGCGGACACAGGGAAACACCGAAGTTCTCTTAGGTGAGAGGGAGTAATGGAGGACAGTTTGCTGTGTGGAGGACCACAGTATCCACTGCACCTCCCCCAATGCATTTCAAGTCTCTTGCTAGCATTTCCTATGAAATTGTATAGACCGAAAAAGTTTTGCCATTATTGTTACTAATAGTAGTAACCGATAATGGTTAGTTATTTTTTACATTGCAGTTCACATTGTTGGAATTTGGTGTTGGGGTTACTTTCTACCCTTAACAGGAAAGAGCCATTTTCTCCTTTAACTGCAAGTTTGACACACATGCAGGTGCCAGCCCACGACTTAGTTGCATATTACCTTAGAATTATAAGCCTTTATGCGTCTGTCTAGGAAGCTAAACGTAGGGTTCAACGTAGAGGTTTGTTGAAAAGATTTCTTTCTTTAAAGGGTATCGTGTGAAGTTTTGCTCTTGTTGCAGATCTTAATAAATGGAAGCAAAAAAAAAATTAGTAATAAGCCCAGATGGAAGTCATAGAGTTTGGAAATAGACATCTAGGTCTAAGGCACATTTTACCACATGTCTTAGAGAGATCATGATTCTATATAAGAAAATTTCTGGAATTTGGAAAGAAAATACAAAAATAATATTAAGAAATTTTAACATCAAGTTGACGAACATTGAGCTCCAGATATTTCTTTCTAGTAGATTCTTTTGTTTGAGATTCTGGCTTATGGAGACCGAAGTAACCAAATTGAGGCTATTACATAATCCTGCTACTTAAGCTGCTGATGGCCTTGCATATGAGTCTCCTTTCTAATCTAAAGTCAGGAAGCGATTTTGATTTCATTTTTAGTGGTTGGCCCCTGAGTTATCAGAATGCAAGGCAGCCTTTGGTATGCAGATCAAAGAAGTTAAAACAAAGGAGGCTGGGGCTGCAGATGGGTCTTCTGAGCAGGTGGGACTTACGGATGAAAGCAATCCGGAGTCAGCCCCCCTTACCCCCACCACCCGCCCCGTCCCGTGGTGTGATAGGCTCCTGAGGAGGAGCCCCTGGGGAGAGAACCAGGCAAGGCACTTCTCCCCAATCGCCAAGGGCAGGGAGTGAGACAGCCACACCAGGAAAGCACGGGGCCAAGAGAGGAAGGACTGGCAACACCGGAAAGGGATCTAGGCCCTTTGGGGCAGACAAAAACCGTGTTAAATGTGCATAGGGTGTCAACAGCTCTGTGTGTGTGCTTCACCCCTAGGTTGTAGTTGGTCATGGTAATGATGTTGTGTCTGTCAAGAGCGTGTTTGTCCTGGTCGTACACTGTGATGTGCTCTAGCTTCACATCCACAGAAAACCAGCCCTTAGATCCAACTGGAGGGAAACAACCTGTCCAAAGCCTGCCAGATAGAGACATGTGACTAGCACGTGGTTTAAAACATTTTTTAAAATAAAATTGAAATTCATTTTCTTTCCTGTTTCAATCATGGTTCCTGTGGAGATAATAGCTGTGATGAAATTTTTTAAGAACTAAAATCATTTGGAATGCAACCCCTGAGACTAACTGTACTTGCCATTTTGATGTCTAATTTTCTAGTGACTTCTATGTGGGAGTGCACTTTAAAAGACAGTAGAAATGGGTCCATGCTGTATGGACTCTTCACATATTAAAATTCGTTTACCATACTGTAATCATTCCTCCTCATCCCCCCTCCCCCCACCTTGGGTTATGTATTACATTGAAGTTCACACCCACCAGCAGCTCCTCGGGAGAAAGATGAGGCTGACTGGCTGCTTCCGTAGAGTCACAGTCCCAGAAACCCACACAGGCAGTTGTATTCTGTCCTATAGGATCGCCGAGTTGGAATCGACTTGGCGGCAGTGGGTTTGGTTTATTTTGGGTGGGGTGGATGTAATTTTTAAACCAAGTGGTTCTATAGGAAAGAGCTTTGGTAGCACAGCAGGAAAACACTTGACTGTTAACGAAAAGGCTGGCCGTTTAAACCTACCCAGAATCTCTGCAGAAGAAAGACATGGCACTCTGCTCCTGTAAGATTACAGCATTGGAAATTCTACTTTGTCATATGAGGTCTCTATGAGACGAAATCGATGCACAGCAACAATAGCAACAGTTCTCCAGTAGACATATTCAGAGGTTTGATTTATGTCTTGCCATATATTTTATTATGTGTCATATATTTTATTATGTGTCATTGTATAGAAAGGCCTCATGTAAAAATCAACAAAGAAAATCTGAGGTTGTGGAATGAGACTTAGATGCCATATTTTAGTACGGTGACTCTGAAGTTCCCGCCTCGATAGATGCAGTTCTTTATTTGAAAGGTTCTCAGATAACAGTAAATGTTTGTCTTCTGTATTTAGCCTTCTCTGGATATTCAACAAATACAAAGTATGACCCTCACCAAATTAAAGCAGAAATCGCAGGTCGTCGGGATAGGGTGAGTAAAAACTAATGTTTTCCAAGTTAAGAGTACCATATGTATTTTATGTAGCATTACCTATCCTGATTCATTTGGTGCTCGGTGGTGTGCTTAAGAGTTCATAGATTATTATTGCATTTTGTTTTAGTCTCTACTTTTTTCCCAATAGGAGGGGAAAAGTGTCCTCTGAGACTCTTAGTTCATATTACATAAAAATAATCTTGTATTCTGCTGTTTCGAGGGCCCAGAAGACCCAGCCCTGTTTGGAGAGATCTGTGACCAGCGGGGCCCAGCCTTAGAAGACTTTTGTTTATTCTTTATTAAATTTAATTTTTGATGAAAAGTTGCCCAGTAAAACCATTTCCCATTCCAGAGTTTGTAGACAGATGATCAGCAGCCTTGGTTACATTCTTCAGATCGTGTCAGAATTCTTCTGATTTCTATTCTAGTTATTTTGCTGCCATTTCCTTAATCTTCTGCCCGCCTCCCCTATCTCTTCATCTATGCTCCAAAATAGCTGTTGACCTTCTGGTCTTAATGTGCGCGCATGCGTGCGTGTGCGTGTGTACACACGCGCACACACACACACACACACACACGAGCGGGCTTCAAAAAGTTCATGAAAAAATCCCCCCTTTTTTTGTATTCCATTTTTGCATGAACTTTGTGAAGCCCCCTGTGTGTGTGTATGTGTGTGTGTAAGTGTGTACGAGCTATACTCAAGGGTAGCAATCTACCATTTTGCCAGGGATTGATAGATTTTTTTGCAAAATAATTCCTACCAAGGCATGTGACCAGATGGATTCTCATGCTCTCTCTCTGTGTTATTTTGGGCCATGCCAGGGTGTCTGGGAAAGGGGACAGTTTGCATAGGATACTTTAAACCAAGATTTTAATGTACTAGTTGTCAAATTTGCCTAGGAAGAACATCTGGGGTGCTGGTCAAAAATGTAAACTGCCAGGCCCACCTTTGTGCATTAAAGTAGGCCTGAATTGGTCCCAGAATTTGCTTGAATAAACACTCTAGGCACTTGAGTTACAGGTGGTCAGGGACCACATATCTAGAAATAATATTTAATATGTGGTTTCTATGAGTAGCACATAAAAGTAAAAATGATCAAAGTTTTACATGGTTTGCTAAATGTAATATACAAAGCAGTACTTTGAAAAGGGGAATAATTGCCACTCCCCCACTTGGGTATGAAGCTCTCAGGGGTCTGGGATTTTCATACACAAGCAAAGTGTTTTTTTTCCTAGATGGGCTGTTTTATGTATGTGCATATGATTGGAGGTTTATGAAGAAAATAGACATGGTTCATGAAATTGCAAGGCAATAAAACTTAAATGAGAAAACCAGTAGATAAATTTTTTGTGTAGCTTGTCTTTTGGGGAAACCCAACAATGCTGTTTGTCTTTAGCTTTCCAGATTAAAACGCGAGCTGGCTCAGATGAAGCAAGAGCTGCAGCACAAGGAGAAGGGAGTGGAGACCCTGCAAGAGTGAGTTGCCCAAGTCCCCGGAAGGGAGACGTTTCCTGCACTTTCATTTTGTGCTGTCCTGTTTGGTGTCTGCACACGTGTCCTAAAGCCTCGTGGGTGTTTCACACTTAGGCTTTTATATGTGTACTCCTCCTTTCCCGATGCTAAGCACGGAAATCTCTCTCTTCCTTGAAGGTGTGTGCAGCTCTGTTAAATCACAACACTCGGGCCATGCAGCCGTGACTTTGATCTCCTTTACGATTTCTTTTATATTTCTGCATATTGCGCTGTCGACACACATTGCTGTTGAAACTGACTCCTTCTTTGTTACTTTCAGTCTCTTCATTCTTAATGAAAATTTAAATTCATTTCAATTAAATAGAGTATATACATTTTAGTTCTCAAGGCTCAGAAGCTCTACCACAAGGGCTCAGTCAGTAGCCACTGGTAGTGAACCTGGCACAATCGACATTTTGGGCTGCATTGCTCTTTTGCTGTGGGAAACTGTCCTTTGCATTGTAGGATTTGTAGCAACATCCCTGGCCTTTACCTACTAGATGGCGGCCACAACCCAAAATGTCTGCAGAAATGGTCAAATGTCCCCTAGAGGGCACAGTTTTCCTTGGCCTAGAGCCACTAGGCTAGTGGCCGATGCCACAGACAGCACAGATAATAGAACATTTTACGTCATCGCAGAAGGTTCTATAGACAGTGCTGGTCTATAGCTCTTCCTCCATTTTACATATTTACAATTAGAACTTTATCCCTACTAAGAGTTGGGGGTGAATATCTTACAATACATAAGTCATATACCTCTGCCAATGGAATGAACAGAAGAAGCCAGTGTTTTACAAATGGTGACATTGTTGATGCAAAAGAAACCATTTTAAGAAAGAGTGTGGCATGCCTTTTGATTGTAAGTCATTTTGTTTCAATTCAGAGCCTTATTTCCCTTTCTGAACTTGGACAATGCCTTACGCTTTTTGTACCTGTTGTTCTTGTCTGTAAATGGTGATAAAAACCAAAACCCAACCTTTTACTGTTGAGTTGGTTCCTACTCATAACAACCCTATAGGACAGAGTAGCGCTGCCCCATAGGCATGCCAAAGCTGCCATCTGTGTGGAAACAGCTTGCCACATGTTTCTCCCTTGGAGCTTCAGGTGGGTTGGAACCCACCAGCCTTTTGATTAGCAGCCGAGTACTTACCTGCCACACCGCTGGGGCTCTTGTACATGATGATGATTGGACTAAATGGAGCCCAGTGTCTAGCAATAATAAGCCTCCTATAGAAATGATGGGAATCATTGTCATGACTGCTACGCTACATGCCAGTAACAGAATTCTGTTCTTCTGCATCCTCTACTGCATCAGTATCACTATGTCAAGCGGACAGCAATGTTGTCCTTTCTAAGGAAGGATGAATGAAGTGAGCATCTGACCAGCATCGCCTAGGTCCTGTGGCTTTCTATCTTCTGAGGACACTCAAATACCTGTTAGGATGTTTCCACATGAGCCGTGGGAGTGTCATTCTGGATCCCTTCTGCTAACTGGCTGGATAAGAAAGGAAAGCCATTGCATTTAACTTGACAGTCATCACGAGTGACTAGTACTGACAAGTGAACTAGAGGCTTCCTTAGTTACTCATTTCATGTATCTCCACAGAATCAAACACTGCCCAGTCCTGCATCATCCACCCAGTCATTGCTGTGTTTGAGCCCATTGTTGGAGATACAGTGTCAGTCCTCTTTTTCACTGACCCTCTACTTTACCAGTCATGCTGTCCCTCACTAGGGCCTGGTTCCTCCTGATAGCATGTCCAAAGTCCGTGCGATGAAGTCTTGCCATTCTCGCATCTTAGGAGCCTTCTGGCTGTACTTCCTCCAACACAGATTTCTTTTCTCGTGGTAGTCCATGTGGCACATTCCATGTTCTTTACCAGCACTCTCATTCAAAGACAAGGGTCCTTCTTCATCCTTCCTGATTTAATGCCCACTTTTGTTTAGGGTCCACTAGTCCGGTTCACCCCATTGCCCTCCTTTGAGGACAGAGGTGGTATTGTCAAGTCAGCTTCAGACCGACTGCTCCAGAAAAGAAACTGCCGAGTGTTGAGATGACTCAGAAAGCCTCCTTCCCCTTGGAATGGCTAGGAAGGCATCCATCTCCTTTAGATGCAGTGATGTCGAGGAGGACGGGAGGGGTGGTTGCCTTGCTCCAGGGTAATGGAGCAGGAAGCAGGAGTCAGTGCAGGGCGAGCGTAAAGTTTACACTGGCAGCCAGAGCGGAGTGTGGGTTGTGTTCCTGGCAAGGTGAGGGGTTAGTACGCTTGGTCTTCTCTTGCTACTTTCGTTAGCAAACTCCCACGTTTGGGAGCAGTGACTGTGAACTGGCCGTGGCCAAGGGGAGTATCCTCCTGCCTGCCAGAGCTCCTGGGGCGGCCTCCCCTGAGAAGGGCATGGGGTACAGCCCTGGACCTGGCCTTGGTCCTGAAGGACCCACACCCAGCAGTGCGATCCTATCATGGCATGGAGGTTTTCCAGGCTGAGTGGCTGCCAGAGCCATTGGCGAATCCTGCACATTGCCTCGGCTCCATTGAGGGCTGCGTTTCTCTGCCTCGAATGGCGTGTTCTCTCTGCGAGTGGTGGTTCGTTTATTTTGCTACACAGCCTTACAGGAAGGAGAGCACTCATGGACATTTACACTATACTTAAAATTCTTGGTAAGCAGAAAACAACCTATGGGACTAACATTTTTCTGTGATCTGAGATAGGACTTTTACATTTGGATGTCACCACGTAAGGTTATATGTTCTCTTGGGATTTTTTAAAAACAATTTTGTAAGCATTGAAAATGTAATTTTCCCACCTTCCCCCTAAGCATAAAATCCCCATGAACAGCGGAGATCCTAGATGAGCTCTGGGACCCCCCACGAGCCTCTCTGATTTGATCATGCACCTCAATTTAAGGCCGAGGCCCTCAATTTTCCTCCAGAAACATTTCTGCTGTTGGTGCTTCCCAGAATATCCAGTGTATTCTTTCCCAGAGCCCCACACCGGGAGCTTGGCCGCTTGTAACATTTGAAACTCAACGTGTTTATCTTGGTGAGCTTTCCTGGCTAGCCTGGGATCCCTCATGCCGCCTAGGTCCAAGTGAGAAAAAAGAACCTTTTGTATTTTAAAAAAACCTATATATATTATGAATTTTTCGTAGAGGGGAGCTGGTTGTAGACACATACTCTGGGCTTTGATAGATGATACACGTGTGCTTATGTGTATGTGGCTAAACTTCACCTTTTTTATTGTGGTAAAGTATAATGAAAAAATTGCCCTTTTAATCTTAAAAAAATTGTATTCAACTGGTTTTCTTTTTCAACTATTAACACATGTATACGGTTCAGTGACATTAATTACATTCATCATCTTGTGCACCGGTCACTTCTAGCCATTTCTGAAAGTGTTCTGTCACCCAAGCAAACTCAACCCCCCCACCCCCACCCCCCATTTCCCTATCCCCAGGCCCGGGAGCTCCGCAGTCTGCTTTGGTCTCATTTTGCATTTGCCTATTCTAGATCTTTCACCAAAGTGAAATCATACAACATTTGCCCTTTTGTCTCGGACTTATTTTTCTCTCAAGCCAAACTTTCAGTGATGAGAATGGTCTAATAAACACCTCACAGACCCCTCACTGAGCTTCAGGGATTAAGAACATTTTACCCCGCCCACTTCCTGTGTTCCCGTTGCCTTATTTTGTAGCGAATCCCAGCGTCATACTTAATATAGAAATTTAGCTCCTAAAATTATGCAGTGCCTTAAAAAAACGTAAGGACAGTGCCCTTAGCACCCACAACAACCACCCAGTCTGTTGTGACTTCTGGATCAACTGTTCCCCAGAGCGGTTTTCATGGATGGGTTTTTCAGAAGTAGATCACCAGCACTTTCGGTAGCCATGCCTCTGGGCCAGCTCACACCTCCAGCTTTTTGGTGACAGGAACTCCAGCCTGCTAGCCTCATCTCCCCAGGGCATTTTCACACTTTCCAGGTTGGCTTGACTTGCGATTCAAATGCAGGTGCGTACATTGCATTTGGTCAATACGCTTTTCTCTGTCCCATTTTCAAAAACAAAACAAAACTTACTTTGTTGAGGAAACGGATTTGCTTCTTTTGTCGAATTTCCCAGGAGGCCTGGTGGCACCGTCCTTAAATGCCTGGCTGCAAACCCAGGCGGTCAGTGGTTGTAACATACCAACTGCTCCACAGGAGAAAGATGTCGTCATGTCTTAAAGATTCATCGTTTCCGAAACCCTGTGGGCAGTTCTGCTCTGTCCTATGGGGTTTCTGTCTTTCCGTTTCCCAACCTTTGCCAACAGAGCACATTAACAGGCTCTTGACCTTTTGACAGTCTTTACAGGGGAGAAACAGGATCTCAGGGTAGTTTTGATTTGTGTTTCTCTTGTGGCCCTTTATTAAAAAAATGTCCGGGTATGCTTGCCGTCAAGTCCTTTGCAGCAATGTGTCCCATAGAACCAAACACTGCCCGATCCCTGCACCTTCCTCACAATCATGCTGATGTTTGAGTTCACTGTTGCGGTCACGGTGCTAGTTCGTCTCACGGAGGGTTCTTCTCTTTCTCATGGATCCTTTACTCAGCTTGATGTGCTGTTCTCCAGGGGCTGGTCCCTCCTGAGAACATGTCCAAAGTACGCGAGGCAAAGTCTTGCCATCCTTGCTTCTGACGAAAGTTCTGGCTGTCCTTCTTTCTAACACACATTGGTTTGGTTTGCTGGTAGTCCAGGGTATAGATAATAGTCTTCAGCAGCACCTGAGTTCAAAGGCACCGGTTTGTCTTCAGTCTGCCTCTCTCATCATCCAGCTTTCACATGCAGAGGGGTGTTTGAGAAGACCACCTCTTGGATCAGGTGCACCTTAGCCTTCAGAATGACTTTTTTTTTAACACTTTAAAGAGATCTTTTGCAACTGAGTTGCCCAGTGCAACGTGCAGTTTCTTTCCTGATTGCTACTTCTCT